CTTCTCGAGGCCATAAACTAAATTAAAAAAGAAAAAGTCAAAAAGAGAGAAGCCTTCACTTGAATTTTCAATTTATTTTGCTGAAAACTAATTCTATGTTCGAATTGCAGGTGATATCATCAAGACTCTGAAAGAAAATGGATTTGAGTATACGTGGGGAGATGTTACTGTTAAATTGGCGGAAGCATATGGATTTTGTTGGGGAGTTGAGCGAGCAGTCCAGATTGCTTATGAAGCGAGAAAGCAATTTCCTGATGAGAAATTATGGTTAACCAATGAAATTATTCACAACCCAACTGTTAACAAGGTACTGATTGATTTACTGCGGTTTCTTTCGACGATTTAAATTTAGAAATGGATCATACTCTGGTAAATTTGATGATGCTTCTGGTGTTCTATTTGTCTAAGATTTTATTGTCCAATATCGAGGTTCTAGCATGTGTTCTTCTTTCAATAAGATGCGATTCTTTTATCCCTTTCTGGGATCTCTCCCTTTCTATCCGGATTTATCATGCTTCTTATTTGTGGAGGAAGTTCAAAATTTCCATTACTATGTTATTGCTGATAAGCGTGCTTTGATCGCTTATCCCCAAGAAAATGCGATCTGTTTTTGTTTTTGAACTTTTTTTGTTCCATTCCTAATATGTATTCTTGTTCAAACTGAACTGTGATTTGAAAATTTTGCAAGATAGTATTCCAGTTGTTGTCCCAGTCCTATGCGTGTGGTGTTCTGTCTGGTGCATGTCTATGAGGAATGAAGACTTTAAGCCTTCCAGTCTTTAGGAACATTAATGCAGTTTTCACCCCTAACGTTGGTGGATTCTATATTTTATCTTTTTAATTCTTTTTCTCTAAATTCGAATGATTTTTCCATCCATATCCTACGTGTGTCGGGTAGGATAGACTTGTTGACCTTCTTCCAGTGTTCGCACAGTAAAAGTCTTGCACCAATGCTTGGACTACTTTTAGATTTTCAATTTTATCTTTACTACTTGCTGTTCTTTTCCTAGAACTTTGAAACACTTAAACTTTTGATTTCCTTGCTGTCTTTTCCATACCAAAAAACATTCTGAAGTATGACTGGTATTCAAAAGTTTATAAACTTAATTGATTGTTGAATTTCACGCCATCTTTTCGCATAATTCTTAAGTTCCTCGATACACGAAGGGAAGAAATAGCATAAATATTTTTTAATTCTATATGTAGCGCTTAGAGGAGATGGAAGTCCAAAACATTCCACTTGAGGATGGAAAGAAACAGTTTGAAGTGGTTGGCAAGGGTGATGTTGTGATTTTGCCTGCATTTGGAGCTGGCGTGGATGAGATGTTGACATTGAGTGAAAAAAAGGTGCAAATCGTTGATACAACTTGCCCATGGGTTTCAAAGGTATCATTGCAGAATTTGCTTTTCTCTCCTTGCTGTACGTTCTGATATACCGACAATAATGCTAATTGCAATTAATATTATGTTTTTGCTTCTGCCAAAAATTCTCTCTCAATGTATGGATGTTGTCTGCATAACATTTGAAGGTTTGGAACGTCGTGGAAAAGCACAAGAAAGGGGAGTTTACTTCAATTATTCATGGTAAATATTCTCATGAAGAAACTGTAGCAACAGCATCCTTTGCAGGAAAATATATAATTGTCAAGAACATGGCAGAGGTATGTCCATTTCATTTTTCTTTTTTGTTGATTTGGGCAATTTTGTACTTCGTTGGGTGAGGTATTATGCATATTTTTCGTATGAACTTTTGCCTTTATTCAGGCAACATATGTGTGTGACTATATTCTTGGAGGCGAACTTGATGGATCCAGCTCAACCAAAGAAGAGTTTATGAAGGTATGGTTTTGTCAATACTTTATGAACCATTATATATTGACATCATTCACAGCTTTAATGGTTGTACTAATTCCTGGTCCGCAGAAATTCAAAAATGCAGTCTCACAAGGGTTTGACCCAGATACTGACCTATTAAAGGTTGGGATTGCTAACCAAACCACAATGCTCAAGGGAGAAACAGAAGAGATCGGTAAATAATCCGCTGAAATGCCATTCATCGCTTCTCCTTTAAATCACAAGCATGTTTATTTACATTTTACTTTTATCAGGTAAACTAGTTGAAAGAACTATGATGCGCAAGCATGGAGTCGAAAATGTCAACGAGCATTTCCTCAGTTTCAATACAATATGTGATGCTACTCAAGTAAGTCTCCGAGATTTTCTACGATGTCTAGCATGTGGGTTTTAGGGAGCAAATTTTGGTTTAATATTCTACTCTTTACTGCTTGAATGACAAGTTTATGCGTCACTCAAGGTATCACAAATTAAACTAAGGCTTTGGAACCCTCATTAACAGCTCCTGCCAAGATGATATTGACAAGTTGCAAGTCAGTGTATGCTGATCTTGCATACTTTTAGTTGTCACTTATATGTGTCTTGAACCCGTTCTCTTCTATCAGGAACGTCAAGATGCGATGTACAAGCTCGTAGAGGGAAAAGTGGATCTCATGTTAGTTGTTGGTGGATGGAATTCCAGTAATACTTCTCATCTTCAAGAGATAGCTGAGGAGCGAGGCATTCCCTCTTATTGGATTGATAGTGAGCAGAGAATAGGCCCAGGAAACAGAATAGCTTACAAACTGAATGTAAGTTAACGTACAGATTTCGTCTCGAGTCCCCTTTAGATTCAATTTGCAAACGGTTTTTGGGGTCGTTTTTCAATTTAAAGCCTACCTTTTCTTTCTCTGATTACTTATTATTTCCTCATCCTTACAAACTCATATTAGCATGGGGAGTTAGTTGAAAGGGAGAACTGGCTACCCAAGGGTCCTATCACAATCGGTGTCACATCCGGGGCGTCAACCCCTGATAAGGTTAGTCTTCTCTTCGACTTACATGCTTGCTGTTACGAATTGTCATCTGCAACAAATTTTAAACCAATTCACGTCTGTATGCTTTTGCAAACAGGTAGTAGAAGATGTTCTTATCAAAGTCTTTGACATTAAGCGCGAACAAGCATTGCAGTTTGCATAAATTTATAGGTTAGTAGTTCAAATGAACTTGTTAGAGACGAGTTATATGATTGTAAATGTGTAACTGAAAGATGGTACCTTCCCTTTAGCAATCATATAGCTTATTGTATCAAAATAGTTATGTTGGGCAGTAGTAAAGGTCCTAGTAAAGGTCCTAGTTCTCCACAGAACTGTATTGCAAGTAGTTCAACGAGTATGTCGACCTTCAACGTCGTTGAATCATACATGTTTTGTAATAACATAGATATCTAAGTGAAGAAAAGGAGGTTTCAGAAAAATGGTTTTGGATTGTTGAGAATCAAATCCTCCATTGTTGCAGAACGACCATAGCTGTTGGTTTATCCTTTGGAATAGATCTTTCTGTTCTGTAGTCCTTTGGTCTTGTGATGGCCACGCGCAGGTTCCTACTTCAAAGGTCGAGACGATAATAATAATAATAAATTTCCAACTTTTAAAAGAATAGTGACCATTTTAAAAGAAATAAGAAAAATTAAGGAGTATATTTAATAATTTAATTTAGTTGAACATACCCAATATTTTATTTCCATCTTTCCACCCATAATCGATTAATGGAAAAGATTTTTCAAGGGTCTCGGATTCCAGCCGTATGCACCAACCTAAAGTAGCTAGGTGGGGAAGTAAAATTTGATCCTTATTCATACATGGGCTACTCATATACGAAATGAGCCACTTCGAATAGGTTCATTGCTCCGGTCCATAATACGATTAATCCGGCATGGGTTACATGAGCCTCCAGTAGTTTATCGGTGGTTTTTTGGACACGACCAATTAAAGCTAAAGTTCCATTAAAAGCATTTTCACGAGTAGAATCTCCTTAGAGAACGAAAAAAGAAAAAAAGATGTTTGCTTTAAATCTCACATCTTGTTTTGGTCATTGTATAGTTTTTAGCAATTATTGATGGGTCAAATTTAAGTTGATCAAGTAGTTTGTTACTTCTATAGAATTTTATACACCAATTTAACCTAAATTTAAAACCTTTTGTTCTTATAATTTGGGTCAAATACTAATATTGTTCTTATATTTTCTATTAAATTTAAAACGCTTGTAATTTGGTTTATATAATTCTATTAAATTTCAGAGATATGACATGTTTTCCACTTACAAGACATTGAGTTAGTACATTATCTAATTGTACGAGAAAAGTAATAGATGATTATAAAGGGTATACAATAAAGTGTTACATGACGCAAATAGCATCAGGAATACAACTCAATTGGTAAAGACGTTTTAGCTCACTTTAATGTTTTAAAGTTGATTCTAAATTATTCAAGGTATTCTTATAATTAATATTCGATCCGTTTAAATCAATTAAAAAAAACCAACTTTATTATTATTACTATTATTTTGTAAAGGGTATAAGGTTCTTAAAATGTTTTTGGATGAGACTTTTAGTTCTATTTAGTTTTTAAATATTTATAAAAATATGTAAATTAAAAGGTATTTTGAATTCAAGATGGCTACAGAAGCGTGGTGGGCCCGGCCCACCAATATACGGAATTTTTTCATTTTTTGCGTTTGAATAATTTGTTAATTTAATTATACATATTAACAACTATAATATACATTTTATTTTTTACTATAAACTATTAAAAATTGTAAATTATTATTACCATAAAAAAGAATGATTAATTTTTTTCAATTAATAAATTAATTAGTTGAATCAGACAAAAATAAAAAACACAACTGACTTAAATAAATTGATCCAATTAACACCATAAAATGTCAAAAATATTTATTATTACACAAATAGAAAGTTTCTTATTTTTATAAATATACTAAAAAAGTTTTTAAGTGAGACTGCATTCAGTCAAAAAAAAAAAAAAAAAATTAAAAAATGAAATAGAAAAATTGTATGTGAAACTTATCGATTCATTGCATAATCGCATTTTGATTAGATTTCGAATGAGCCTAAAAGAAAATTTTGAACAATATTTCCAACTATAGAAGAAAGTATAGAAGAAAGTATTATTATAGATTAACAGATGCTTACACAACATAGTGATAGTTTATCACAATTAAGATAGAAATAACATGATCAATAAATTTTGAACAAGTACGACTACGATTATATAGAGATATATAGGTGTAATGCTTACCTTTGGAACAGTTGATCTTTATTTTCTTTCATCTACGAAAGCTGTAGTGGCCTTTCGAATCGAATTTCAACGGCAAATCCAGTTCGTGATCAGACCTAAAGCTGCGAATGTGAGCAATAGGCCAAATCCGATAGCGTTGCAGCCGTGATTCTACTTTGCTTTCAGTTCTCCGTAACCGCTATTAGTGGTGAATCCGTTTTTGCTCATCGTTTCGATCCGATAATCCTTGTGCTCTTTGTTGAGGAATTCGCCGACAATGTCCAAGCTCGGTTTCAGAACCGTATTCATCCAGACATCCGCCGTGTCTTCTCCGCTCTTTTCGAACACCGCCGTCGCGTCGATCCGGTGGATTCTCCAACCGAGCTCGTCTCGGAGCCGGTGAATTTTTCCGCGTTGACGGAGCGCGAGGGTACAGGTGTTATCCTTAATTTCTTGAATCGCAGATTTCAGCAAACTATCGTCATTTTTCTCCGATTTGAAGTAACTATCCATCTCTGGAGCGCCGATTGCGCGGCGGATTCCGCGGCTGTAGTCGGCATTAGGAACGTACATCTCTCGAACCTCTTCCACTAGCCCTGCCTCCACCATCTGATCCACTCGCTTCGAAATGTACCTGTTCAGAACTGGCAGAGCAACATCAGTCCAGACAAAGCAACAGTCGAATCGCGAACGGAAATCCGCAATCGGATTCTCAACCAGCGCCTCGATGTAGTTGTTCGATCCTCCAACGATGATCGGAATTCGTCCGCGTCCAATAATCTCGGCGATTGAATCTTCGACGAGGCGGCAGAACTCTGCGGCCGTAAAGTCGGCGTCCGGATCCTGGATTACGCCGAGGAGATGGTGAGGGACGCCGCGGCGATCGGATTCAGCGATCTTGTTGGTGATGATGTCGAGGCCTTCATAGAACTGAATCTTGTCGGAGTTGATGATCTCCGACGGGAAGAAAGTGGCCAAATCGACAGAGAGTTTTGATTTTCCAGTAGCAGTGCAGCCCATAACGAAAATCACTTTGTGCTTTTTGTTGCTCAGATACTCAACGCTGTTGTTCATCTTGTTGATTTACCCTTAAATGTTAACTAAATAACAAAAATGCCACATTCCAAAAAGAAAAGGAAAAAAAAAAAAAAAAAG